GATTATCTGATGGTTGGTCTAGTTGATCTTGCTGGGGAGAAGGATTATCCTTATTAGTTTCTTCTTTTGTGGGATTTGGATTTGGTGATTTAGGTTCTTGTTTGGTCTGTTCTTTGGATTTTTTTCTGGATTCTTCAAACTGTTTTTTGGGATTTTTGGTTTCTTCTTGTTGGTCTTGTTCTGATTGTTGGGGTTGGGGAGAATCAGGATTGTTTTTTGTATATTCTCTGTTAAATTTGCATTGTTCCCTTTCTTTTTGGCTTCCTTCTCAATGATCAAATTTATAACCAAATTCTCAAGCCAAAAATAAGTAGTCCCACAATCTAAATGCGTTGAATTTTATCACCGCACCAGTTTTTTTGTTTCTAAACTCTCGGGGGTGGCTAAAAAGATCACTTATGGAAGAAGTATAAATTTCCAATGTTCAGTCTTCTTTGTTTTTAAGAATAACTTCAGATATTTCATATGATAATAATTCTCAGTTGCTTACTGATTCTTTGCCGATAAAAAATAATTCGTTGTCATTTTCTTCAAAATATTTACTATAAAAATTACCCCTGCTATCAAGAATGTATTTATCTATGTTATCTAAAATATGTTTTTGATTTTTTTCTTTTTGTTCGAGTGATACCATACTACTTTTTTCTTTTATTATTCTTTTTCAGGATAATTTTTATAAAGTCCTTTGTTAATAGACCTGTTAATTATGTTTTCGTTATCGCAATAATGTCCACAAGAACTGTCGCAATGTTTTCGGGAACAAGAAGGAGGATAATGGTGTTGGGAACAAGAAGTAGAAGGACAAGAATGATTATATATTTGATCATGATAATATTTTTCGAGACGCTTGGATTCTTCTAATTGTTTTTTAGTCCTCTCCAACTCTCCTTTAAGATTAGTTAATTGTTGTTGGGTTGGTCTTTGGCTGTAGTCATTGTTTCATTGGATGAGAGTGATGTCGGGACGATTATTTAGCTTCACCGTCAAACTTCTGATTTTTTCTTCCCTAACATCTATTTCACTTTTTAGAGCATTTAGTTGGACAAGGGTTGGCCTTGCCAATAAACTAGTTAAAGTTTCTTCTTCTGGTATTTGGGGAAGATTATTAAGGTCATTTATTCCTAGTAGATTTTGAATATTAGTGATTAGATTATTAAGGTCAGTTAATTGTTGATTTAAATCATTGATTTGAGTTTGTAAGTTATTTTCTAACTGCTCTTTTTCTCGTCTTAAGGCATTTATCATCTCTTCTTTTTGCTCCAATTCATCTAAGGAACTGTCTCACTTAGTTTGGTAATCATCTCGGTCATTGGCAATTTGTTCTTGGGTTAAAAATAGTTCTTTAATGGTGCTTTGTAATTCTTTTCTGGTATGAGCCAAGGCAAGCAAATCCTGTCGTAAGTTATCATTATATCCAGATAAATTAATATTATTATTTTGTTCTTTTTGTAATTGTTGGGTTAATTGGTTGATATGAGATTGTTGTTTGGCAAAAACAAGAGCACTACCTTGTAATAAACGATCTAATTGGGTAATGCGCTTAACTAAATTGTTTCTTTCTGCTTGTAGATTATCTGTGGTAGTTTGTTGGTTAGTTGTTTTTTCTGTTTCTAATTCTTGAATTTGTCTTTTTAAAGTTTTGATTTCAGTTAGCCAGTTAGTTAATTCTTGCTCTAAATTATTAATGGTTAAAGGTTGTTGGATGAAGATTTCTTCTTCATTATTAATGTTGTAAGCACCAAAACTGAGTTCTTTTTTATTTAGAATGGTAGGTGAGATATAAAGAGGATAAGGAATATCTTGACCTTTTTCTAACTCTAATTTTTCCAAGCTGGTATGAGGGATATCTAAAAACAATCAATCCTCATTGTGTAAAAAAGTGTAACGCTCACTAAGTGGTTTATTCCACTTTGGATTAGTGGAACACATATAACTCACTTCTGACAATTTGACAAAATTAGTGGGGACCAATTGCTGGAATTGTTTCAGTATTTGTTGAATACTTAATTGTTCTCCCTCAATGATTTGTTTTTGGTCTTCATAAAGAGGAAGATTATTTTTGGTATTAGTCATAATGGTATTTAATTATTATCTCTTTCATATAAATATTTTCCTTTACCAGGAAAATTTATCTATATATTTTTATTTTATAAAGTTGACAAACTACTGAGTTTTATTTTGACAAAAAAATTAGTGAAAAAAGTGTTATTATTCTCGCTTAAGAATGTTGGATAATTTCTTTTATGTTACCTCCCTCACTGGGAAACTACTCCTGCTAAAATAATGCCACAACTGACTGAAACATTTAAGGATCCAATATTATTACTCATAGAGATGTAAAGAGAATAGTCACTTTTTTTAATTAAACTTTTTCTAATCCCTTCATGTTCGTTGCCAAAAATTAAACAGGTGGGGAAATCAAAACTAAATTTGTTATATTCTTCGGCTCCGGGTTCACAAATAGTCGAAATAATTTTGTAGTCTCTTTTTTTTAATTCATTGACTGCATCGGACAAACTAGCAACTTGACAAACTGGAACGTGGGCTATCCCACCTACCGAAACTTTAATTACAGTGCTATTGACAGGAACTTGATTTTTACTGGCAATAATTACCCCATCAACCGCCAGAGCGGCACAAGTTCGCAAAATCGCCCCAAAATTATGAGGGTCCTCAATGGAGTCAAGCATAACAATTAAGGGAAATTTTCGCTGTGGTTGGTAAGATAATAAAGAAGATAGTGTCACATAATCATAACTACGAATAAAAGCAACTACTCCTTGACTTTTTTTATCAGGGTTGTAACGGGAAAATTGTTCTTTATTTAATAATTGAAAAGGTATTTGCTTCTTTTCTAACAAATGCAATAGTTCTTTGTCCTTATGGTGTTCCTCACGCAAAAGCACTCTTTTGAAAGTAAAATAAGGAGAATGGAGTAAATTATGAACGGTATGATTACCAAAAGCCAGAAAAGTCATGTTTTTTTAATATAAAATATTTAGTTTTTTGTTTAAAAAAATCCTTTTATCAATTGAACACATACTGTTAAAAGAAAAAAACTATACAACTATTTTACACTAATTAGAGTCAAATCATTCTTAATCAACTCCCTAAACTCTGATCTCATATCTTTTCATGCTACTAGTTCGACCACAAAAGGTAAATCACTTTCTTTAAACTCTTCCTCGATTTGAAAAGCAATTGCGTCTGGTATTAATTCTTGATAACAAATATCTAAGTCTGATAAGCGACGGGCAGTACCTTTGACTCGGGAACCATAAGCATAAAAATGATAAGGGTATTTACTTAGTATTTGGTAAACTATTTTTTGGTGTCTTTCTTCTAATTGGAGCATTCGGGTAGTTCTTTTAGTTTAGTAATTAGTAAATCTAATTGTTGGAGGAAAACTGGTAAAGAAATAAATATTTCTTCGGCTATTTCTCCATCATAAGTGTGACTAGTTTTATTTCTTTTTTTGGCAAATTCAAATCAGATTTCGGCGTCAGGAATTAAGCCTTCCAAGTTAGTTAAACGAAATATTTCCTTGGGAGTAACATGAACTTCTTGAGCTCGTAGTAATAGGACTTTCCTGATGGTATTTTTGGCTAATTCATAACAAACTTCAAAAGCCTGAATAGTACCTGCTTTTTCATAATCATTACGGGCATTCTGAATAATTTCGGCCAAAAAGTTGCGGGTAGAAATGAGTGATTTTATGCTAATTTTGGATTTAAAATTGTTCATCACCTTATTTTTTTCTCAATTTAGAATGCAATAAATTTTTTTTATTTACCAACCTTAGAAAAGTCATAAACTAATACCTAATAAAATTATTAATTAACTAATATTAGATATTAGGGGGCAATTAGCGCCCCCACTTTATTTTTCAACTGTCTTACTTTTCTTTTTCTTTCTTTGGCTCTTTTTCCGGTAAATTGGTTTGCCTCATAAGCACTCAAGCTAAGATCAACAAACTGCCAATTGTTAAAGCCCCTAAGCCAATATTGAGGTAGAAAGCACTGTCTTTTTCACTATTTGGTTTACCAAATTCATTTTTAATTATCTCAGTTCTAATCTCTTCAACTTTTTCCGCGGAAGTCGCATTTTGAATTTCTGACCGCCTATCATTCGAAATTTTAACACCTCATTTTTCTCAATTAGTGTTGGTTTTTTCAGTCAGAACTTTCTTAGTAATTACACTTTCATTTTCTTTATTACTTTCCAATTCATCAATTTTTCGTTTTTTACTCTCATTGTCACTTTTTATGGTGTCATAATCAGTATGGGAACAACTACTTGTTGGTCTATTCATCAATTCTTTTATTTTGTCTACAACTTGCTCTTTGGTTACATTTTCAGTAAGTCCCAATTCACTTTTTATTGCTGTTAATTGTTGCTGCAATTGGTCCCGTTCTGTTTTAATAGTTTCTAATTTAGCCTTAGCTTCATCCCGCTCTTTTTCGGCATTTTCTTTGCCAGTTTTTAGTTGAGGACTTTGAACAGCAACAATTTTATTTATTAACTGCTCCTTCAATGCAAGTCTATTTACTCTTTTTTCATTTCTTCCAGTTTTAGGGTTCGTTCAATCAACCAAAGGCAAATCACTAGCATGTTCTACACCAAACAATTCTTTGACTTCATTCACCACACCTTTAAAAACAGCTGCTTTGGCTTCGTGCATAATCTTAACTGGACCACTCTTTTTCATGTTTATCATTTCAATTCCCTCTACACGATCTATATTTTCAATTCGGTCGAGAGTAGGATTATTTGGACATTCGAAATTTTTTAAATTTTGACAATGAGTAAAATCAATTTTTACAATTTTATTACGCCCACATTTTAATGTATTTAATTTATTTGTAGTGGGATTGTTAGCACTATCCATAGTTAATTTTTCAATGTCAAGAGTCTCGATTGTTCCGTTGCTAGTAACATCAATGAATTCCAAATTTGGACAATTGATAAATACTACTTCTTTTAATTCATGTTCGCTAAGGTCAATTCTCTTCAAAGTGGTGAAATTTTCGATTTTTAATGTGCCAGTTCATTTATCTCCTGCATTATTTCCTGAAGTTTTTGCTGAACCATCTTCATTTATTTCACCATTCACTAAAGCAGTTGTTGGGTTATACTTTGCATTAAATTCTGTTTGTGCGTTTACCATATTTTTTGTTATTTATTTCGTATTTCATTTATTTTTCTGCTTGCTGAATTTCGGCTTTCCAATCTGTTCCGAGAATTTCACTTTCTCAGTTCGGATTCGCTTCGGCAGTCCTTATGTACTTTGATATTTTATTATATTGATTAACAGTAATATTTGGTCGATTATCTCTTTGTCTTACTATTTTATCATATTCTTCTTGGGCGATGGCACCTCCTGTTGGTCTAGATTTTAAGCCGTCAAATTCCTCTCTTGCCTTTTCGGGTGTTGTGTTGGGAAATTTAGTTTCTCAATCATTCAATTTAACTTTGTCTTGGTTAGCATCGGCTATTTCTTGGGCTACCCTTTGCGGATCTTTACCAGCAAATTCATTTTTTCAATCATCTAACTCTTTTTGTAAATCAGCAACCGCTTTCTTATTTTCATTTTCCACCTCAATGGGAGTTTTACCCTCAAATTTTTCTGTTCACTCTTTTAAACTTTTTTGGGTTGCTTCTAATTCATCCTTTTTGGCTAATTGAGCTTGCCAATCAGTTGGTAAATCATCAGTAGGGTTTAATTCTAACACATTCTTTATTTGGTCAGAATTGTTTTTTAATTTATCTATTTCATCTTTTCAAGTATTCAAATTATCATTGGTTAAACCTAAACTAGTTTTTAAATCATTTTCATAACCTTGAACTTTTTGGTTGGCCTGGTCTAATTTATCTTTGTTAACTAATTGTTTTTCTCAGCCTGGTGATAAAGTATCATCAACACCCAAATCTCCTAGTAAACTTTTAATTTTGTCTAATTCGGCTTGAATTTTATCCAACTCAGCCTTTTCTGGCCGTTTACTATAATCATTTTCTCAATCTTCTTTTTCAATGTCAGGACATTTTCTGTTAGTTCAAGTTGATAAATCTTTTCGCGAATTTCCTCCAACCCTTTTTCAAATATTATTAGTTCACTCATGTTTCTATAACTAAAATTTTAATTGTTCGGATTTGTTAAAATTATAATATAGATAAGTAATTAAATTACTACATAAGGAAATTAATATGAACATGGACACATACACATTCCGCTTTAATGTCGAGAAATATACGAAGGAGGCAATAAAAAATTTAGAAGAAGTCAAAGAAATTAGTAATTTAGCAGAACAGTTAACTAAAACCAATCTCTACCTTGAAAATCATCAAAAAAATTTCAATGAACTAAAGCAGGGAAAACCCGAAGAGTACATGGACAACTATTATCCTTGAAAAGGGAAATACAGTTTAGATAACTACGAAAAAGAAATCAAAAAATTAAGAGAATTACAAACAGAAGTTTTACAAAAGTCCAGTAAAATCAGAGAACAAAAACAAAAAGAACAACAAAACAAAGACTACCAACTAAAATCCTCCCACTGCTCTTACTGTAAAAATAAACCACCAACTAATCACTACATTTACAGCACAAAAAATAAAGAACTAAAACTCCGCAAAAGAAATGCTTACCCTTATTCTAAAAAAGAGTATTTATTCTGCTCAGAAGCCCACTTTGAAAAATGACAGCAAAAAAACTACTTCTGTTGTTCAGAATGCCAAGCAAAAAAA